TAAAAGTTTTACGGGTCCTTACACTCGGGACCCCATCCGAATATACCAACAGGTTCTAAAACACATAATTGACCTGCTCGAGGCCAAAAATCATATCAAACAATATCGATTCTACGAATCTCAACCCAAATTCAAACCTATGAAACTATGAACTTCCGAATTCCAAAACTAATGTCGATTCATACCAAAACAAATCCCATTGACTTTATACTTTGCACACAAGTCATAAATGACATGACAGACCTATTCTAACTTTCGAAATCGGAATCCTACCCCGATATCAATAAATTCAACTCCCGGTCAAACTTTCCAATCTTCCAAACCTAAATTTTTTTAACTTTCGCCAATTCATGATGAAACGATCTACAGACCTCTAAATCAATATCCGGACACACTCCTAAGTCCAAAATCAACATATTGAGCTACTGGAACCGTCAAAACTCCATTCTGGAGTTGTCTACATAAAAGTCAAACTATGGTCAAATCTTTCAACTCAAAGCTCCAACTTAGGGACTAAGTATCTTATTTCACTCTGAAACTCACCCGAACCAAAACCAAATACCCTCGGCAAGTCACGTAACCATAATACAACATAGATGAGGCAATAAATAGAGGATCAGGGCTGAAATACTTAAAACGACTGGCCGGGTCGTTACATCAAGTCTCCAAATATAGCTGAATCCGAGCAGGACACCACTAGACGCCGCTGGGATCAATACTGGTATCTACACAAGAAATACAGAAGTGTAGCGCAAGTACAACCGACCCAATATACTCCTTAAGGGTCGAGCCTAACGTTGACGATGTAGTGACGTGGTTATGACACGACACCTACTTGAAACCTGTACGGATATATACATAGAGCAACAAAATAACAGGTAGGGCAATTAAAATATATAACATTTGACTAGTTTCGGATTGTTCGGCATCGACTTGAGCTTTTAGAGCGGATTAGTGGACTGAAAGTGCGCTTGGGAACGAGGTAAGTCTCTTGTCTAACCTTGTAAGAGGAAATTCATCCCCCTAGGTGTATCTTTGTTGTGTATTACTTGTGTGGGGAGCTACGTACGCACGAGGTGATGAGAGTCTGCGTAGCTACATTCCATGATATGCCCGGGTAAACTTAGATCTACATCATGCTTTTAATTGTACTGTTGTATTTATCCTGCGTATTAATTGCCTTGAATAGAGCTGAGACTATGAATTTAAAGTTGCAATTATTGATTAGCCTTCTTATTTTGGAAAATTGAGGAAGACAAAATAACTATGAAAAATCCATGTCTTCTCTCGTCGCAAGTACTTCCACGAGCGAGGTAAACTTCTCTACTCTAATGGGATCGGGTCGTTCGAAAGTTAATTTAATCAATATATACTCAAAAGTTCATAATTTAGCTATTAGAGTAACTACCCAACCCAAATTGGAAGATTCCTAATATTCACCTCCGGGCCCACGAGCCAGGATTCTAGAAATATTCGGAGATAAATATTACCCATAGCATCACGAACTCAAATATATTATTTTTATTTAATTTCATAATCAATTTCATGGTCAAATTTTATTTTTATCAAAACCCTAGGTTCTTTGCAAATCCCACAAGTTTTCACAATTTTTCCATATTTAATCTACCTAAAGTCTACATAATTAACTTGAAAATGGGTAGGGGTTACTTGCCTTAGGATATTGATGAGAATCCCCGCTCAAATGTGCTCTCAAAACCGCCCAAGACCAAATGAAATGTGAGGAAAAATGGCCTAAGTCTCGGATTAAAAACCACAATTGCCCGGCGACTTCTGTACCTGCGGCCACTTGATCGCATCTATGGAACCGCAGGTGCAGTCAAAAGGTCGCACTTGCGATCCCCCACTACCTCCAGCTTCCTCGCTTCTGCGGGCGGGGAGCCGCTTCTACGGATTCCTTCTGATTCTGCGACCCACAGCTGGCCAACCCAAGTTTGTATCTGCGGAGCCTCGATCGCTTTTACGGGCGCGCAGATATGGAAAAGTCCTCGCACTTGCGACCACCTAGCTCCAGCCTCAAGTCTGCTTCTACGAGTTCGCACCTGCGGCCCTTTCCACGCATGTGTGACTGCACCAGATCTGAACTACCAGCAGTTTCCCCACATCCAATTCCGAGTTTGATTCCAATCCGTTTTGTATCTGGGACCCCCGGGACCCATCCAATTACACTCACACATCCAATGACATAATACGGACCCGTTTGTGCGATCGAAACACCAAAATAACATCTAAAATTATGAATCTGAGGCCAAAACGCATGACTTCGACATGAAACTCAATTTTCTAAAAACACTTCCGCGCGTCTGATTCCTATCAAATCAACTCGAAATGACGCCGAATTTTGTGTGCAAGTCATAAATCACCATACGAAACTATTTCTGAGCTCGGAATCCCAATCGGACCTCGATAACACCAAAGTCTACTCCAAACTAAACTTGAGGAACTTGGAAAACCTTTGATGCGCCAACTTTCAATATTAAGCGCTGAAACGCTCCCACTTCATTCGAAATCCGATCTGAACACACGCCCAAGTCCAAAATCATTATACAAACCTATTGAGACCGTCAAATCCCGGTTCCGAGGTCGTTTACTCAAAATGTTGACTTTAGTCGAACTTAACCATTATAGACTACTATTAAGGAACTAAGTGTTGCGATTTCAACCCGAACTCTTCCAAAACTAAACCAACCATCCGCGCAGGTCATAAAACAGTAAAAGCACATACGGGGAATCTTAATTAGGGAAACGAGGATCTAGAAAGCAAAACGACCGGTCGAATCGTTACAATATTTTCAACAGATGAATAAGTTGCTTCATGCTATCAACAAAAGAACTTAAACCTGATTAAATTGCACTGGCAATTGATGCTGTCAATGATATAATAAAATAACATGTTATACCTGATTACATTGCACTGACAATCAATATGTATAACTTGAACCTTTATATTTATACCAAGTAAGTCCATAGACATAGAAACACAAATACACAATATGCATACTTCACATCCGTTACCTTAAAATTCTAGATGTATCTCTGTATGGAACGACACAAAAGATGAATCATTGAAGATGTAAACGAAAATTCAAGAAGAAACCATCCTAGATCTCTAGAGACCATGATCTAACTGCAGTAAACACTAAATATCTTTGTCCTCCTCCTGCATATCCTTGAATGGATGTCATATGACAGAGCACGTTACTCTGCTGCAGCATTGGTGTGAACTTGAAAAATATGAAAACAACAGTTGCAGACTTAGCCACATTGCCTGTCTCACCTATATTTAGCGTCATCAGTCCTCTTTATCACCGCTTTCTACTTTGGAGCCTAGCCAATAAACTAGCATATATGAGGTTTTATCATTTTCAGAAAACGACTTCTCATTCAACAGTCAACTTCTTCTTCTTTAAATTTTATTTTATGTTTGGCCTCGTCTACCTTTATTTTCTATTCCCTCCATTTCAATTTATATAAACCTCCGTGCCAAAAGATTGAAATATTTTTCTATTTGGTAACAATTTAACTTTATGAAATGATATATAGTCACACAAAATATATGTGCCTTATTTTACATTATAAGTTTAAAAATCTTCGTTTTTTTCTTAAATTTCGTGTCCAACCAAATGAATTCGGGAGTATATGATAATCATTTGTATCTACTCTTTGGGGATTACTTAATTTTCAGAGTTCGAACGTCTAGCCGTTTAATGTCTATAACCTTAAATGTCTAGAGAAAAAAATATGACGAATTTGTTTTTCTTTCTTGTCGAAAGAGAGAAGAAAAAAAAAAAGAAAAAAAAAAGGAAAAACCACACCAAAAGACGACAGAGAGTAAAATTGAATTGTTTCACTCAGATAATAATAGAAAAAACAAGAATTGGGAAAAACTCGCATTCCCATAATAATAATAATTGTTTACTCTTCAGTGAATCTTTTTTTGGGAATAATCTCAGGGTTAGGGAATATTCTCAACATTGTGCACAAGTATCAATTTTCCAACGCTCCTGCTCAGCAAAAGATAAGCAAATATTATACTACTCAACAAAATTCCTAAGGAAAGGGCTTTCTTGAGATAATTTTAACTACCGTCCGATACACACAAGGTATAGAAGGGCTGCATTTATAAAGTGTGATGTAAACAGTCTAATCTAATATAAGTATTAGTGACTGTTTGTATAACTCGAACTCGTGACATATAAATCATACGGGCTCCAAGGCTCCCTCCTAACTAGCTCAATTTATCTCATAAAAAAAGATTACTTATTACGTAAAAAAAAGAACAACTAGCTGCTACAAAAGTTGGATTATAAAATGATTCATTAGTGCCTAATTATTCAAATGTGGAGCTTAGTCGACCCCACAATCACAAACGGTCACCAAGAATTTAAGTCTGACCATATTGTTATGTACCAGCACTACGAATTAATACTTGTATCGTGACAAAAGGACAAACAACAAAGCTTCCCCTCAACCTTTCCTAGATCACTACACCAGCAATTTGGCATGCACGTAATCTTTGGTCCATCACTTGTACTTTTACCTACAACATCATTAAAACCTCAAAAAATTTCCTAAGTGTAGACAGATAAAAGAGTTTTTTTGGAACAGAAAAATGTATTATTATGTAACAAATTCGTTGTCTTAAACTACGTTGCTTGAACTAACGGAAAATATTTATGTGTGGGCGTCGATCCTCCAAAAGTAATATATTTTTGGAGAATTCATCACAAATACTACAACTATTGTGAATATTCCCCGCAACATGTCTTGGAGCTTTATAACTAAGGTTACAGTAATAAATTCAGTTAACATAAAATGAAGCAAATCTTGACATGATATCTAGTTAAAATTGATAGGCAACTTTCCCTTGCATTGATCACTTTTTGTAGGCTTTTTTCTTTGGATTTGGTGATATCCACTCATAGATAAAGTTACAATTACAACCCCAAAAAAATAAACAGAGAAAAATGTCAAAAGCAGAGTCTGGTCAAAGCAAAAGCAGGCCATTAGTAGATGAATCAGCTCATTACAATTGGCAGCATAATCAAAGAAAAAGACTGTCTGTTGACAATTCACAAGAAAAAAAAAGTTGAATAAAATGACTGGAAAAGTTAACTTCTAACAACAAAAAACAAAAAAAATAAAAAATAAGAGGATGCCCTTTTAATTAAAGACTAGAGGGTTCATCAACTTTCTAATTCCCAACCCTAAAAAGGTATAAAATTAGGATAATGATAATTAGCAGATAGGAGTACTTAAAATTAAAAATTAATTAAATACTGCTCTGTTCACGTAACCAAATATATGGGCATAGCTGAAGTTGTCGAGATCCTATGCTGCTGCGGGTCCATGTTAAATTCCCTGAGGTTAATGTACGGGATCTCGAAATCACCTTTCCGGCTAGGAGTCAAAGTGCCAGCGAGTGGACCGGACGACGGACGGCTGGTTGTACGGCAAGGCGTGTTTGACCCACTTCTGCTCTCAGTAATATAAACCGGTCCAGATACTGATCCCCGGAAAGTAGCACACCGGCGGTGAACTTCGCCGTCGACGTCAAGATCACCGTCGCCGGAGATTTTGTCATTTTTGGAATTACTGCTCCTCTTGAAAAATAGCAGAGCATTTTTCCACCATTTTTTGCGGCTACTGTTTTTCTTTATCTTTTTTGAAGATTCGTCTTTTGAGATTGGTTTTTGTAGCTTGAAATGAACTGTATCTATAGAAGATCTTGCCGTTTCTCTAATCTTGTGCTTTCTTGCTTCTTCCAAAATCTGTTAAACACGGGTTAAAAACGTACTCTACTTATTAATAATGCATTAATTAATGGTGTATCTTAGCGCTTGTTAGAGTGAAATTTAGGACAAGAACGGATCTTTATTGAAAATAACAGGTGCAAAATCAGTTTTTCGACTCAAATTATGTGTATGTACCTTAAACAAATTACGTATGTTTGACATACCTGAAAATAATCGATTTGAGGGTCGAAGCCATAGTCACTGAAGTGTTGAGGTTCAACAAAGGGGAAAATGGGGGATTTGTTTGACATTTTTTGGTTTTTTTCTGTGGTTTTGTTGTTTGCAGTTGGAAGAGGGAGTTAAAAGGAAGATGAAGAGATGGGGGGGGG